GACTTCTAAACCTCCACTATCCCTTAATGTTTGATAATGCCCATCTCAATGATTAATGACCCAATCATTCTGTGCTCAAAGCACAAAACTGAAATTTGCCAATCTAGTTAATGTTTAATAATAATCAAAGGCTTGCCGACAGAGCCTCGTCCGTCACTACATCCAACATATTGCAAAGCTACGATCGATCACCCTTTCCCCCTGATTGCATCTTGTCTGGGGACTGGGGTTGCCGACGACATTTGCAGCCTGATGAGTCCACAATCCTTACCATAGCCCCCCCAAGGCTTGGCCAAGTGTGCAACATTATATGCCACTCCAATGACAGCTACACGCCTGATGATTTCCAAAATAATAATTTGTTGCCGGGGCAGCCTGAACTTTTCCCGGCGCCAAAATCGTTGAAGCTGGCTGCCTGTCATGCGTGAAGCAGAAGCCTCAAGACACACCACAGCCCCGGGTTCACTTGATATTTTCAAACACAATGGGTAGAGGTAGTGTGAGTGCATGTACTTTCTCAGCTAAACCAAGGATACATGCTTCAACAAATTTACAATTTGAAGGAGATTGAAAATGGAGTTGCAGTAGAGGCTCCACAAACCTACTTCAATTTGAAACAAACACTGTACATGTACATGCTGGTTGTACTGTACATGTTCAGGTATCAATGCCTAACTTTTGTACAGCACAGCATCAGACAGGCAGTTTTGCAAATTTACACAATTTACACATTATATTATGCACATTCTGTTTATGTGCCAGTACATCTGTGCAAGTAAAGCCACTCATGCAAAGAATTCTGCAGTTTTAACCACCCAAGTTCGGTATGTTGGCATATTAATTACAGTGATCCGCAACCCTTGCAAATGTCATGGAGCTTCAGGTACAATGTGAATATGTACATGTACATGTCTATTCAACCCTACTTATGGGGGGTTTTTTGGTCAAAACAGGCGCCATTTTGACCAAGCTAGACATTCTTACAACAGGTGTCCACAAATGAAAAATAAAAGCCCCCCAACAAGCCAAATTACACATCCAGCTAGCAAAAGCAAATAAACTTCATAAATCTGTCAAGCTGGTGCCACGCTCACCGAAAGTGGTTTATGCCAAAAGTGTGCATGCCCGCCACCATTCACACACAGCCAGTCATGGCCCCTTGCCTAAACACCAGTGTAGATTACACCTAAGCGCAAAGCAGTAACTGAGGCTTTATGCAGCATCCCTAACAACCACTTCACATTATGGTCAATTTTCTCCAAATATCTCTGTCATCGCATGTCGCCATGTGAAAGTGGCATTGGTGTACTTGTTGGTTGTTTATTCAAACCTTGTCTTCTTTGGACCCAAGAAATACATGTATGAAGAAATTAATGAGGTACAGTTGATTTGAATAACTTTAAACATTTTTGTCAATCCCCTAGTGATTGGAGTGTTCCCTGAAATACATGTACACTGTATGTGCATATACAGTGTGTACATATACTGTATTTAAGCTTTAAGATTGAGTGTTATGCCACAAAAAACCAAAGGTCAGTGCCAACCCCAGGGTTTAATTGTGAGAAAATATTTTGCAACTTACACGGGTGCACTCTTTTTTGTCACACAAGTGCTAAAATAATCTGTATCTTTTCCATCACAAAAGATCTGATTCTTCTTTTTCTTTCAAGTTCCATAAAAACCACTTACAATAATCCATTGTTTTGATTTGTTCCAGCCAAGCACAAAATCTGCACGGTTGGGGAGGGGGGATGGTGCTTTTGTATTAATTGAGGAATCTACTGGGCTTAGCTCAGTCCCTTTTGTGTGGTGGCCTGAAAAGATATCCCCCCAGCAGGACAGGAGCTGTGATTCTTGTAACCTGCAAACACTGCCGCTATTGTTCCCTGAAAAAGTGTGTTCAGGAACAAACTGTTGGCTTTGAGGATTGCGGCTTTAATGCCTTCTTTTACAGGGACTAAGAGCTCTCCCGGGCCTGATTTGTGATAGTTTAGCAGTGAAGAACCCCTGGTAGAAGATTTAAGCGTTGAGTAGCTTTACCTAAACCGTTTGGGAGGCTTTGTGAACAGCTCCTTTAAATCTTCAATATAAGCACATCACTTTTCTCATTTGTTCTCTCATGCACAGTGTGATATATTCCTTGGAATAGTTTTCAACTCAGAGAGATGTAAGTTTTACACATCTGAATGCCTTAGTTTCTAGTTCCATTATCGAAAACAGTTTCAGATCTTTTAGTTCAGTTTGAGTTCTGAACAAACTATTTCCAATAAGGGTACACGCAGGCCTTTTGTTTTCACCAACTTGTATGCTTTTTGTATTGCTTCTGGGAACGTGATACACAAATGTGAGGATAATAAATGTCTCACATCAATCAACAAAAATAAAAAAACGATTAAATTAGATACTGTTGTTTAAACCATTGAGCAAGGAATTACCAGCCTTTTTCATTTATGAAAAAGCACATTGTTGAAATCAACATAAGCTGCTATGCATCAAATAATCCGTAGGAAAAATTGCAAAAATCTTCAACCCTATAAAGTATACATATACATGTACAATAGACATGTACCATGCATGGTAATGACAATACCATGCATGTGCTGAATACCGAGTCAGGTGTTACTTTTCAATTACAAGCCCAGTTTTTCTCTGCTCATTCAGCTGTCCATAAACCTGTTAACAGTTACCCAACAGATCACAGAGTTTCCCAATGTGTGTCAAACTAATCAACAATTATCAGCCTCATTACAAGGGGTGAAATGACCATTGAAACTCCTGCAAAGAGCACAGAAACCCCTCTGGTGCTAATAAACACTTCCACACTGTCATTATCATCAGCTTGCTCAACTCTGTGGAACTGCCAGGCATGTGTTTTGTGTACAGCAACTCTGAACCCTGCTCAGTTTGGTTTAATCATGGAGGCAGGAGGGGAATAAGCAGGTGTAGGTAAACATGGATAATGACTTAAGCCTGTCTAAGCAGTGTGTAAATACCCTGGAATGCAATTGGCTTAAAGGAATTAAGGAGATTAAATGCTTCTGATAAGGGAACCCAGACCTGTTGACTGACACCAAATCTCAACCCACAAAAGATTAATAATGACTTAAGAAATCATATGTGGTCAATTCACATGTATTTGCTCTGACTGAGAAGTAGAGCTAGCCTGCTCTTTGTCAGAAATAAGGTGAGATTTGGAGGGGTTGACAAGTTGATCTTTTGAGAGGCTGATACAAGTGAATTATATCCCTTCTGGTTGAGACAAGCCTTACTCCTATGGGCAACAGTTTAAATTCTACATGTACATGCATTAAGCGCATGAGTGGGTAACTGAAAAAGGTCTTCAGAGAATTCAGGATATTATTCAAGCTCACGTAATAATGTCATGATTTAATCTACAAAATGACTGTTGTTTTCTATGAACGTTAGAATTCAATACACGTACATGAGCATGTATTGAAATCTTGCATATGCTTTATGGCATGTACTTCATTTAGTAATACACCTGCATAAATTGTTGACAACAAATGTACATGTACCAAATTGTCTCAATGTGCTAAGTGACAATGTTTTTAACTTTTAATTTTGGAAGTCTACAGTTAGAGCATACATGGATCTTACTTTTAGCATTGCACAAAACTTTCCAATATTTACATACATCTACTCAGAAGTACAAGTGGTAGCTCACTTTTGTGCTCTTTCAGTGAATAGGTTGCAACAAGTTTCAGTGTGGGCAGCCGTGGTGTTTGGGGGGCAATTACCCAATTCACCATCCCCCCCACCACCTTCCCTGCATGTGTCTATTGTGCCAGCTCCAAGTATCTCCAAAACAGGCAGTGAGGTATCAGATACCACAAGGGGTGACTCAGGGAAGCACAAAAGAAAGGAAATTAAAGCAGGGGAGGATTCGCCCAATCCATACCCAATCTATAACAAGGTTAAATGGGAACATTATGGGGTATTGATTAACAGGCATGTTCATGTACATATGCACAATGGGATCAATTCCACTTTAAATTGGATGGGGGTTTCTGTGGGAATTTGAAAAATAGGAACTCCTGTGCTGTTTAAAGCCAAGAAGTTTTTTATGAACATTAGCAAGTTTTCTATCCACAATAATGTACAACATTATGCACAACACAACATTTGATCAGATGGTATGGCATCGCAATCACTTCAGTTCACCATGTCCACAGTGTATATACAGATAATCTACATGTGTACATGTAATTATGTTGTCTGCAGACTGGAACTAGACCTTATCGAAGTCAGTAATGTGGAGCAGGGCAAGATTGCTTTGAAATTAGGTTCTGAGGAAAAAAGATCATGATCACGACAGTTGAAGGTACACTTCAGGCTTAAGCTTGAGATTGAACGGACAATAAGGCAGCATCCACTGATCTCTTAAAGACTTGATTGCTACTGAGAAAACACTGTAAGGGCAAGGGGGAAGACCACAATGATTATGAGCCATGAGGCTGAATTAAGAGTTGATTTTCACATGCCACTGTCTGCTGCCAGGGCCCACTCAGTCTTTGCAGATAATGCCCAGAAGCTACAGGCCCAATCTTTAGTGAAGATATTTTCTTTACACTGTTTACTGATAAGGATGGGTGACTCACTACCAAAGACTGTATTCACTCAGTGAAAGCAAAGCAACAGCTACCTCACAGCTGCTTGACAATACCAATGCTCTGGCCCTTTGTTACTTTTTATTGTGTGGGGAAGAGGCACAAAGCATGAGTAAGTTCTCAGACACTCAACCCACTGACCAAGTCTTCTCTTATTCAAAATCAGTTACACTGAATTACCAAAACAGGTGTTAAGTAGCCGCTAAATAACTCAAAGTTTGTTAATGATGAAGGAATTTATCACCTCAAGTGAGTTCATCATCAAGACTTAACATAAAATTGCTCAATAGGACTGGTTAAAACCCGAGTGTCAGAAGATTGAAAGATTATCCACTTCATCTGCATTGTCCCTAGTAAAAGTGAAAAACCTACCTTTGAAATCATCTGCATGGGAGGACAGCAAGAAATCCAGGTAGTCCACACTGGTCTGTATGGCCTTCCTGAAGTCGTCCTCTGCTTGCTCCTGCAACATTTCCTCCATCCGCCGAGTGCAACAAGTCCTGTCTCGCTGACACACCTTCAGCCCTGCTCCTGTCATTGGAAAGTAAACGAATTCATGACACACATTTGCTTTGAAAATGAATAACAAGATTTTTGTCACGGCAACAAGTGTCAGATGCTCATTTTGAACTTAAGCCTACAATTTTAAAGAAACACATGTACCGGGTACACGTGCTAAAGTTCTGAAAATTGGGACACGGCAATGTAACACAAGGTATGTAGTTTGCAGTAATTTGAGAAAAAGGAAATAAAAAGGGGGAGTCTCCTGACTCTGATTTCAGAAATGTGAAATAGAAAAACTACTTCAAACTGTTTAGGCTGCTCACTGACATGCAATGACCTGAAATATAAAGTTTGAGACTTGATGCTTCCGTCCAAAAATGGTTGGGGGTTTCTTGTAATCTTGGTGTGCCTCCAAACTTGACAGAACTGTCACCAACTTATAGCGATCTTACCAGTACTTATATTTAAAGCAGAGAGTGAGTAAACAAGCTCTATGAATAAGGCAGATTATTGAAGTTGCATGGAGTGATTGAGTTTAAACAGATTCATTTGTGACCAAGTGTTGGGGTTATCCATGAAAACCAACTCACAATTAAGGTATGACTGGCTCGTGAACCTTCGAAATCTATGTTGGCAATCAATGACATTTTTCATTTTCTCCAGTGGCAAATTCTAGTACATAAATGAGCTTGTTTCATTACAACAAGCAAAAAGGGAAGACAAGTCGGCTTGCTCCTTACGTTACACAACAAGTAAACACTAGAACATCGTCAGCAGTTGATTTTGTTATGTACAAACCATAACAATTAAGTACAGTCACACAATTTTGTCAGTACTTCAGGAAATGAATTCAAAGTCCAAACAGCAGACAAGCCCTCTCGTGAATGCCCTATTCGAGTTGGAGGGTGTTTGATTTGGGTTATCATGCGTGGGGGGCTGTTCACCTCGATACTACAAAAGAAAACTGTCACATCCACAATGCGCCAACTTTGATAAATTAATTTTTAACCCCGAGTTCACATAATTCCAGATAGACTTTGTTAACATGAGTATGGGCATTTTGATGGTTCAAGGGGGTCTCTTGATTCTAGTGCAGTATGACGAAAATGGTAGAGTGTTTGTTCCCGTGCTGGCCGGAATTTCCAGATTTAGACTGAGTAGCTCTGTTTTAACAAAGATCTCAGGAATTGTGAAATTGTAACAAGGAGAATCCCCAACGCAGATCTTTCTGATTCTAACAGATCTCACAAGCAAGCGCTATTACTTAGGTGAAGAATTCCAAATTACTTCACTCTTTTTGAGTATCAAAAAAGCTACAACTTTTTTGGGTATCTGCAAATTTCTGGGAGGGAGATTTTATTTGTGACAAATTTAACATTTTAAAGTTATAAAGTTTATAAGTTATACACTAAAACATGATAAAATCAAACATGACAAAAGTTACTGTCAAGTTCTACAAAAAGCAATAAATACAAAATGTTCACATCTTCCAGGAGCTGGTCCATCAGAATCCAACACTTAAAAAAAAAGAAATATTTCAAGAGAATGACATGAATGATACACATAAGCCTAGGTAGTCTCCAAATCCAAAGAACTAAATTACTGTTTGACCAGTGTTTTCTGAGTAGGCCTAACTGTAGGCCCAGGCCAAATCACGATTAGGCTTACGTGTAGGCCCTGTGTCCTTTTTGTCGTATTTTCAACAATTAGGCCTCGGCTTAAACATGTTAAACGGGCATGCCAGATGCTAACTGTGACTGAGTATCGGCTAAATTTTGCCAAAGCCCAAAACAGCGAATCAAGCAAAGAGCCTACCTGAAATCGGACTTTCCGGGGTTTCAACATCCCGGGCGAACTGAAAACTTGTGAAAATGTCCCGGACGTTTCCGCAGGTCGGCCGGTCCAATTGCGATAAAACTCCACGACTGAAGAACAACAGGAGTCCAAGCCAGCACAGTATGAACCTCTGGAAGTCCACGCTAGTCTCCATATTTCTGTAGGAGCGAGGTTTGTCCAAAAACTGAGGGGTTCGCAAATTAATTAACGTTTGCAGACAACGCTGTTCAACACGATTTTTTGTAAATTGTAGGTGAAACTGTAGTGTAGGTTGAAACTTGAATGTTGATTTCACTTCAGGTTACGTATATGTACAGCCTAGCCGCTTGGTGTTGTTGTCACAAACCATCGAGCGTGCTTTTTTGGACCACACATGCTCTTCTTATAAAAAGCTACAGTTTTCCGGCGCAGTGATGCTGGAAAGATTAAAAAAATAACCGAACACAGCAGTATTCCAAAGGATGTCAGCGTATTCAAATTAGAAAATCCGGTACAGAGAAGCTGTCACTGATTCGGGAAAAGTTGACCGACCGGAACACCACAAAACACGGCTCTGTTTGTTCCTCCAAATAGCTATTTTGTCCACCGCATGTGCACGGCGGACGTACGTACATATGTACGTGCGTACGTAGACGGAATGCCCATTGCAACGTGCACAAACACGCTAGCAGACGATAAGCCAGGAATTTCCCATTCAGTGACGTGTAATGTGTGTGTGGGTGGCCGATCTGACGCGTGATTGGTGCGTTCCGCGCGAACGCACACGATTTCCAGACAATGCTTTCCGTGATCTTTTCAAAAGTGGGCCGAAGTGAATCCTCATTTATATTCCCAGGACATTTCGGACGAATTTATTTATCACTAAATTAACCACTTAATGAAATAATGATGTGACAAGTGGTAAAGGACAGATTTTGACTACAAAAGGACCTACTCATGTCGGCATTTTGAAGTGTTGATTGTAAACAATAAACAAGAACAAAAGACCTTGTAAAATAACATCTCGATATTTGAATAGTAGTTTTCAAATTTCATCGAGAAAATTGTATATCGATTTATCTCGTGGCGACTCATTTGTTAATTTATTTTCACTCATTCATGATTCAGTCAGCATCATCTATAAAAACTGATCACTAGTTCCCAGTAAAAAAATTACAGCCGATAAACAATTTCAATTACAAGCCTTGCTGCACACGCATCGCTTATCTTTACGATTGATTGAATGCATTCAAAACACACGACCCGTACGTGTCACATTCCCTGCCGAATATTTTTGTTAAATCCCTGCCCTTTCTTTTGGGAAAATTATATACGGAACATATTCCCAGTGAAATCCTACGTGACGTGTTTAAAACGAAAGGGGAATTGAGATACAAAATATTAGAACGAAGAAGGCTTTCAAAATGCCCCAAGTAACACTCAAGAAGAGAAAAGGGACGTTTTACGCCTTTGTTCAAAGTATGACGGTCGTTTTTCAGCATCGTCAGCCCATAAGGCGCCGGATTAAACACCTTTCCCGCCGCGTCTAGTGGAAGAACGCGGTGGTCGTTTTTGCTGGTTCAACAACCGCCTCGCTGAACAGAGCCCCCTCATGAAAATTGTAAAAGGATTCAGTGGCCGTTTCCCTTCCGCTGAATAGATGTGCAAACTCCTGTTTTTGTGTCGTATCATCCCACTATTGTTAGCCATTCTTTTCTGGGCACTCATTAGATCCGTTTGAGCCTCCTCACAATAATTGCTTCCTAAATCCTCGGCAAGCCGAATTTTTATTATGTCTAAAGAAAGACTTCACGACAGCTGCCTCTTTTCCTAAAAAAAGGGAATCTGTTTGCAAAAGGAACACACACGATGCGACGTGCGTAATCTTGATAGAAAAAAATCGGTGCGGCATATTACATTTTCGAAGCTAAAAGTAGGACCTACGTGAAAGGAACACACATAAAGCAAACTTCAGATTTATCATTTCAGTGTTCAATACGGCCGTTTCACAATAGTGCGCCCCAAGAGTTTGGAGCGCGCTGGCCAATCACAGTGCGCAAAATTTGTCGACCCAGTGCGCGTTTGGAAAGGGTCGATAACTTCCGTGCGTTATGATTGGCCAACGTGTTGCAAACTCTTGGTGGCGCACTATTGTGAATCGCCTGTATTGCCCTATTAGGCTTGTCGGTTCGACAGCAATTTTTGCCGAGAGGCGAGGTGAAATGACGTCATTTTCTGAACGTGGCACTTGCAATGCATGCCAACTCAGTTGAAACGCGGAGCTGTGTCCATTCGAAAGTTCTTTTCTTACTGCCAAAAATGGTTTCATATTGCACCACATTGGAAATAAGAGCAGAGAAGAAGGTCCCAACGAAAACGAGGGGCCTGCCAAAATTGTTAAAAAATAATTATACACATCATCCGATACATTATACTCATAAGGGGGCGGAGCTACAATCAATGGGGATGTACGTTTGTCCACCTCACCCGGTACGGTTTCCTTCCTTTCCTGCTTGCGCGAGTTATGTCATACACTTAAAAGAAATCAACAACACAGATCATTCAAAATGTCACCTCCAAGAGAAAACATTCGAATACTCAACAAAACAAGAAGCTGAGATTGTCATCGCTACCTGCAAAATAGTCTGGGCTTGAAAACATCGCTCGGCAATCGCATCCCATCAGACCATGGAGGAAGCAAAACAGACGATGACTACTTCATCTGCCTGCCTCGAGGCTAAGCAACATTCTTCTTTTTTTGCGGGATACAATGGTTGGAATAGGTGATAACATCCTCGGGCCACTGCTAAACGGTCTCTTGTTCCTCCGACCGAGTGAAATCTAAACTTCGACTGTCGGTATTAAAAACATCATTGCTCTCCATCGGTGAAATCGCTTCTTCAAAAAGTCCAAGTCGAAATGGGAAGAGAAAAGATGTAATTGAACTCTTTCGTATACGATTGGCCATCCTCCCTCTACATCGGGTTAGTCACTTTTTTTTTTAATGGACTCGACTCGACTTCCCTTTTGGGGTTTTGAAAGTCATTTTCGTAACGACCCTTCCTCACGCTGTCACGTTTTGCTTATATATATTCCTGACTTCCGTTTGATTCACAGATTGCTTTCACTGGCAAAATAAAGTTTTAAAAATGACTGAACTACACTATAAACAAGGTCTACGAAATCAGCAAATTACCATATATCAAAGAAATAAAAATTATGCTGCTGAATTAAATTGAAATATGAATTTACCACTGGGATCAAAACGGGATCAAGAGGAGAAAAAAGACATCGGGAAAGCTATACAAGTTACGCCCAGTCCAAACAGAACGAGGGAAAAAATACTCCATCATTCCCCTCAACTCTTGACCGTTGCGACAAACAGTATTTTTTTTTCTGTAATTCACTTTGTACAGTAAGATGCAAATAACAACGGGAAAGACGGGGGGATCTTCAACAGCAGAAAGAGAGGAACAAAAAAACCAATGAAGAATCAAGAGACAGGTCTAAACACGTCTGGCAATGTTAGCCAACCGGCGCGTGGGGGGGGGGAGTTCTAGACATCTTTTCAAAACCAGGGACGGTGACATTTTGGAAGAACCGAATGCCTTGGGAGACGAAAGGTTTAATTCGAGAATGTCGACATTACCGTCTGGATGTTCTGGGGGATAAATCTACAGTGAACGGAGGTGATTGGAATACAGATAATGATTTTTTTTCTTTTTTTCCTTCGCTAGACAATGTATTGCATGCACTCCTATCCAAATCCAAATGGAATAAAAAATAATAGTCTCACACAGATGGTATACAAAAGTAAATTGTTTTCGCATTGCAAGAAAAATAAACATCTAATTTAAAAAAGCAGAAGAGAATTTTGAAAGAAAAAAACTTAAACATTCCTTTCTTACTAGAACTGCAGATATTGCGTGTGTTTTCAAGTTCAATTTTGAAACAATAAATGAAATATAATGAAACGTTTCTTCATACATAGCCTCAAATCTTACATAAAAATTGGATGGATGATATAAATTGGCTCTTGGAAGAAAAACCTGGGCTTTATTAATTCACAATGTGAAAAGTATAAATTCAATATATACACTAACAATAAGCTTTGTCTGTTCACAAAAATAGGACATTTATCTTTGTCAATTTCAGATGCAGCGTTTTCAAGTATTGAAATATAAACTTTACATTTGTTTGTTTTCTGTGTATTTCCACAATGACTCTCCCAATCTCTGTCATAACATTTTTGTCCCTGTGTAATGTCAGGTGAGCCTATTAAAAAATGAAATGCGAAAAGCAAACAAAAAAGGAACAAACATCAAGTATTTTGCTTCTAAAACATGCATTGAATACAATGGAAAAAGGGCATGACTGAAAGATGATGTTTTTTCTCCGTCCAAATGCAGCCTTTTGATTTGGTAGTTAAACCAAAAAAACAAAAAGGACATTCCAACGTACACTGCGGCTACTGTAAAAGCGCCCTCTATTCACACCTGCTCATAAAACAGAGACAGCTTCGGTAAACTCTCAATGACCAGTTTTCCAAGTTTGTTTGAACAGCTGAAAAGTTAAAAGCATCAGAAAGTGAACCTGTCCTCCAGTCGCTCTATTTTTTTTTTTCGGACAGACATTCCAAGTCGCAGATCATTTTTTAGGGGCTAATCTTTCTCAGGTCTGTCATGGTGACCAAGGTTAACCTGTAAGGGGTCGTTGGGAAGTTACACTTCCGTTCCAGATTGGCCTCGAAAAAACAACCCCAAACCCAGAAACAAACTGAACTCTGACCCATTTTCCAAATACCACTTACCACTTCCCCCAAAGGAACCTTGAAAAGGAATGAAGATAGTTCAATGGTCAAGAGGGCAGGAAAATATGTTTACAATTCAAGCTCCATTGAAAACAGCGTAAAATCAACCAATTTTGGAGCCCCATGGCAGGCAACTGAAGCTCCTGATGCCTCTCAAACAAAAAAACCTGTGTTGTTTGGTCCTTCAGATTTCATTTGATTTTCAAATTTTAGTAGGTTAACCAATGACTTTTTGTAATTATCTGCCCAAAACAAACTCACCCCCCCCCAAAAAAGTGAATGTTCCCAAGTCTTCTCAACAGCCATTTTTCAAATAAATTCCTCACCTTTCTCAAGCTCTTCTGACAAATTTTAAATAAAATTTTTGCCTGCTTTGCCCCAGATGGGTGTCCCTGAATCTACAGAGATGATCCTGGGCCATACTGACACAATCCTACAATTTCTTGGCCCACACAACCCCTCTTTTCAGAAAATTTGTAGGGGTACTTTTTAAGCACCTCGGCCTGGCGGAGAATTTTCCTTGAATTGGGATAGTGCACCCCCACACAAGTGAGGGTGTATTGACTTTGTGTAGCACTAAAGAGGGCGCAATTCACTTCATAGTCTAGCAATGACGGCAACCGAAGCGGGCCAACTTCTCTTTCCCTGGTTTGCATTTGCTGTCCATCCATCAAAGCCTTTTTATACTAGGCTGGTTCCTGACAACATCATTACAATCTAGACTTCAAAACGTAACAGGTGGGAACCAGTCATGATGTGAGCGATACTTTCCCTGCAGTGTCATCATGTATTAACAGTCAGGAGTATAACCATATGAGGAAAGGCTGTTTCATTACACATACAGGGCAGAATTCTGGCCAATCATGAAGGTCTTTCTTGCAGGCCGCAAAGAATTGTGGGAGTTTTCATAGGACGGCATGCTATCCTAATAAGCGCTGGAATATATGAAGCAGAAAACAGCAACTGAAATGTTGCAATTTCAAAAATCTGATTGTCTGCACGAAACAAATGTACAGTTCAAATATCACCTACATGCACATGTTCTAAACCTCACTCTTACGGATGCGATAAGAAATTCCTTGGTGCCAACTCAGATATTCAGAGTTAAAGTGGACAAGAATTGTGGCATTTTGCCCGGGCTTATGTCAGGCCAACGAACTGCGTGACTGACTGTGGTTGTTTCAAGGTACCGTATGTGAGGATGACGAAAAGCTGGCACAAGCATGGCGTTCTGGATAAAGATGGGGTTCCTTTTGCTGCCAGACCAAAACACACAGCCAGAACCACGCACCACAGAGCGCTGGGCGTGTGACATAAATAGCCTGTCCCAATATGGTCATACTCCCAAGTGATCCTGTGAAAGTGTCTTCCGACCACTTGTTACAAGCAACGTATTTGAAATTTGAAGGGACGTGCTGACAACAACCGTAGCTCTGGAAGCCTGTTTCAGACGAGGTCTGTGAGAAGTGATTGTAGCTGCTAGCCAGCGGCTCCAAGAGAACTATTGCAAGGGCCTTTGTTTTCGCACTAAGGAAAAACAGCCGAGAGCCGGTCACGAGCAAAACACACACTGCACACACTTTGGCCGGTAACCCAGTATAGCTACGCAAAGAGGCAAATGCCAGTGGCTGTTGTTTCCGGGACAACAACCTGAGTAACTTATTCCTCATTTTGAGGGAACAAGGTCCATTCAGCTGCTCTTTTACAAACTTGAGTAGAAGCAAATCACAACACATATAACTCCCATAGTTTGTCGATTGCTGATATCTCAATATGAGGCTCTGAGCCAGTCATCTCCAGGCCGGTGCAGTGCTGTGACAGAGCAGCAGTTCCTCACTCACATGCGTCACTTACAGCAGTTGAATTCCCTCTCCTCCGGTCCTGAAAATATCCAAGTCCACAAATAAAGGTGCCATCTCTTACAAAAATCAACAATGATGTAAAACATGGCTCTCCTGATGTATTAACTAAATGCCATTCTCTGAATTTCGTGAGGCCTGATTAACCCCAACCGTGCGACATGAAAACCGGCCTTACCAATATCCTCTGCAGCAGGTCACTTTCGGCGTTGATCTTGTCCTCCTTCCAGAACTGCTTGAGTCGGTTGGCGTCCACGTTCAAGCGTTCCGACATGTAGACCGCAATGTCGGCCAGCTGCAGCACCAGCCTGCGGGCGTAGAGTTCCACATTGCGGTCCGTGTCATTGTCCATCGTCCAGACCCGGTGGCGGTGCTGCTGCTCTGGTGGGACGTCGGATTTCCTTCCTTTCCTGCTTGAGAGGGGGGAAGGGAGAGGCGAGGCAGGCAGAATGGGTTATTTGAGAGAGGCAGCGGGCGAGAGGGGTCTTAAAGGAAAAGGAGTGCTCATGGTGGAGACAGTCAGCCTTTTAGAAGCATGGTGGACACAATAGGAGCGTGCTATCTGCTCCGTTTGGAACAGAAGAGGGCGTATTTTTTTTTTCTACTCGCTGCAAAGGCGAGCCATGAGGCGCGCAAATACATGCATGTTTGACGCGGAACACACTGAGTATGCGTAACTAGTTTACTCTGGCATGTTTGGTCTTTGCGTAAAAACAGAACATGCGCAAGAACCCGCTTGTCTTTCTTTTCGCCGATTGGGGGTGCACTTCGGCTTGGGGCGGATTTGGTTTGGGTAAAATCTTTTGTGTTTGCTCCGAATTTAGCCACTTCAAATAGCCCCCTCCTATTGCGTCCGCCATGCTTTTAACAGACTAATAGTGATGATGATGGCAGTGGGTGTGAAGATGTGGGGAAAGTGGCAGTGAGTAGATGATTACGGTAATCATGATGGTGACGAGAGATTTGATGATAGTGGTAATAATGGTGGTGAAAAAAAAAGGCAGTAATGGTGATGAGATGGTGATGAAGATGGCAGTAATGATGATGGTGAAGATGGTGGTGAGAGGGCAGAGATGGATGACAGGGTGGTGAAGATGGTGGTGAAAGGGCAGTGATGGTGGTGAAAGGGTGGTGAAGATGGGATGGATGGTGGTGGGTGGTGGTAATAGAGCTGATGAGAGGGTGGTGATAGATGCTTGTGAGATGGTGGTGAGAGGGTGGTGATGGATGCTGATGAAAGGGTGGTGAAGATGGTGGTGAAAGGGTGGTGAAGATGGTGGGATGGATGGTGGTAAGAGGGGAGTGGTGGTGGATGCTGGTGAGAGGGTGGAGATGGATGCTAGTGAGAGGACGCTGAAGATACAGATATCACAGTGGTGAAGATGGCGGTCATGATAACGGAGACAATGGGGGTGGCATCACCTTTGATGACAGCAGGAATGACTGGTGAGATGGACACGATGACTGTGACGGCAGAGCAACATTTACAGTGTGACTCTGCAATGTCCTAACGGTCAGAGCAAAATGCCAGGAAAGGCTACACAAAGAACTCACCAATTCAAGTAAGACTCATAGACGCGTCGTCTCGGCTTCACCAAGTTCTTGTCCACCAACTGCAGCATGTCAACTGAGTTGTGCTTCTGAAGAAGTAAGACATGATCAAACTCAGTAGAAAGACAGATATCTGTCATGAACAAAGACTTCCTTTTTCTGAGAACAGGCAAATGTGACCTGGTTGAGCAAGCCAATCAAATCCACCAAACCATTACACTTGTTGCAAATTATCTGGTGGATGCAAGCGAAATGCAAAATCCACCCTCCATGTCCAATTTGCTTGTACCCTCTGCCTTAATATACAGGGCGACGGGAGAGGCCAATTTCTTAAAGTTCTCATTGGACAGAATTTCAGCAGTAACACAGGTCAACATGTGCAGTTTTGCGTGGCATGTGCAGGCTGAATGTAATATTTGCTGATTAAGGTAGCAAACCACCCACAATACATTGCAAAACCCAGCACTTCCTTTACAGCATTATGTGAAGGAGGTTAGCCGTACCAAATACCCCACAGAAAGTAGGAGCACCTTCTACCAAAATGAGGAACCCAAAACTTAACAGTTCTCACCGCTGCGTAACTCAAGATGTTTATGTTTCCCATGGAAGTGGATACCGACAAAGACAACCTCTCAGCCAACTTCTTGGCCTTGGATCCGCCCAGGGCTTCCATGCCGGCTGACATGACCTCGGAGGCAGTCTCCATGGAGAAGACATGCACTGTGCCCAGGATGCCAGCAATCAGGTACGGGGTACCAGTGGCAGCTACGACTGGAGTCAGCTGGAATTAAAAACGAGTAGTGGTAACTTTGTATCTTAATCATTTTTTTTGGGGGGGGGGTTGAAATCCTGTGCTCCTTTGAAATAAATGAAACTGCAATTTTGAATAAAATTTCTATCAAATGTCCAAATCACTGGAGCTGTGTTTTCTGTTACCAATCCTTTCTAAATTTTTTTAAACCAAAAACTAAACAATTTCAAAAAGCAAAAGAGAGCAGATAGTTGATTTCATTTGTCGCAATAGAGTTAACCTCAAAATGGTTGAAATAATTACTTCAACCTACCCCAAAGCTGCAGATGTCATCATTCAAGCACCAGTCGTATTCGTCCTCGCTGAGGCTCACATCGATGCGCATGTCATCGATGCTCATCTCCTTCAGGTTCAGGGACACAAAAGTGATATGCGGGCCTGCAGAATTGAGACGGATCCGCAGAGACAAATGCTCATTGTTAAAGACCAAAGTCAAGTCGTACACTGCAACTGGCCTTTTTTGCAAGTCGGCCATACTGAGTTGAAAGTGAGGTTAATTTTTTCATGTTGAGAACCCGAGAGTCAAAATGACAGCGATGAAATAAACGTTCGTTTTTGCAAACCAATGTCATTTGTGCTGATGAATAACTTCAAACTTTGTGATTCATTATATCTGAACGTGTTGAGCGACATTTAAAAAAGAAATAAACCGGGGCAACAGTTGTGGAAAGGACGCTGTGACTGGAATTATGGGGGGATTTGTGGAAAGACCCGCGGCAGACTCCATAGCCTTTGCTGGACCCACCTTTGGGGGAAAATGCGGGGAATAAAAGCATGAGTACAAGCGTTCTGCCACTGGCTGACTGACAGACCTGTAGAACACGGCTGCAGAAATTCTGAAAAAAAATAATAATAATAATAATTACAGGAAAATTTGAACATTGAGATGGCTACCAAAAACAGGACAGTATCTGCTTGTGAAGTGGCCTTCAAAGCCCTATCCAAAATTGGCTACGGCTAGCAAACACATGCGCATCTTTGCAACCGACTGAATCCGCTTCCTATAGACGTCAGTGTTGCTGCCATCGATGGCCAAGTGTGTCAGACACATCCTTACACAACACAGTAGGGTAGCTCAATGGTTACTTGAGCTGTCACACCACCGTCAAACCTTGTAGCAATCTGAACACTTTGGTTTTCAAGAGATACAAAAATTGTTTACCAAAAAAACACTGAAAGTTTAAGCCGCGCAGATTGTCACGACAGTGCCTGGACGTAAACAGCAAGCTCACCAAGAGTCTTTGACTGCTTAAGTAGCACATTTAATGCAACTATAACAGTTTGTTTCAAGCATTTCTGACCAGATCCCACAGGAGTCTGACGGCAATTTTTTTCAGTAATTATGTTTTTAGTTTACAGTTGAAAGAGCAAACTAAGCTCTGTGGTTTCATACATTCACTCATTTGGCAGCCTGATTTACCGGTAAATGGCCACCATGCGGGTGCTGATTTCTATTGTTCACGATTCCGTTATAGACCTGAAAAACTCAACAGTGGATCTGGCAACCTGCTACTCATATTGGCAGACTGAGCCCCATTTGTAAACTCTTCCGTAAGCGAGGCAGCAGAAGTAGTCAGGTTGCCAAGTTTTGGACTGGCGCACCTTGGCAGGCTGGCAGTAGTAGGTGTAATGCTTGAGTAGCTGGTCCATGGTGGCGTGTCGGACAATCCCGTGGAAGACACTACCCGCCTCTTGCACTTCCTCAGGCCGGTAAATCTGGAGCTGAAATAATAATAACAATATGCACTAAACTGACCAACAGGTGGACAAAGCTGTGCACAGAATGGTGACCGACGGAGACAGGTTCACATAACCAGGAATGACCCAAAAAACAAGACGGAAAGATGAGATGATGCAGTTCAAGGGCATTACACAGAGGAGAACAGCAAAGGATGGGACCAATTGGCACCCGCTTGGGGTGGCCTTTGCCTTGCTGTGGGTAGATAATGGCTGAAAGTGATGACTATGATAATGGATAACTAGCATTTATGAGGTGCACAATATTTCACTCTCTGTAACTCTAAGGCCCCGAACTCGCATTCGGTAAAATTGCTGATAAACGTGTCCTCGCTAATTTATCCCCATGGACTTCTGTCGCTCCATTTTTGTCTTGCTGTCTGTCTGTTTCTCTCCTTACCAATGTGGAGCTTGTGTTCATTTCTTGGTGCCACAGGATGCCCATGGGTAGCTTGTCCAGTCGCTGCTGAGCTTTCTCCCTCGCCGCCAGTCTCTCCTGTCGGCTCATCTTCTTCTCGGCGAGGTCGGTATCGTTAAAATGGACCTCAAGCAGCGAAAAGGAACAGCGGAAAGATTATAAACTAAACGAATTGGGGGCTAAAATGAATGCTAGGAATTCATCGTTCCTCAGACTCATCTTTGTTAAAAAAAGTTGAAGTTTTCAAGATAAATCAAGAGCTGATGATCAACTATGAAAAGAGAAGACCACTGAGGTTTAGAAGAAAACAAACAATGCTAATGTGGCGAGGAATGAAAGCCAACAGGGTACATTTGTGTGGAAATAAAATTTTTCATTATAATCAGTCCTTTCCCTGCTGATTCAGCAATATTTGTCCAAATTCAACTTTAAATATCTCAAGTTGGCAATGACGAATTTTAAATCCCATCGGTACAAACATGTTTTAGAACTTCTAGTTTATGTCTGTATGTTTGTTAGTGTTTTTGTTCGATATGCTGCAACGTTTAAGAAAAGCATCCTGTGACATGCGTTGCAGGCTGCTAGAACAAGCCTTGTGATTGGTCAGATTTCGCAAGATTTGTGACGGAATAGGCTGTCAAAATATGGTAATACTCCAGCCCGATTATGGATTTTGCCCTTGCACTGACGTAAATTCAAAATTAACTTCTCCCTGACGCACTTGCATCTTTGGATAGAAAATTCTCGACTATCTTTCACTGTTCTGCCAAAATCTGTTGAAACACGTGAGAAAAACATTTTACTAGAGATATATAAAACTAGCCTCTTATGCTTCAAGGTGTTTCAACCAGATTCTAATTTTAAAGTTTGGGCCATCGTTTATTTCTGTTGGTTCGCTGGAGTAGAAAAATGGAAGAGAAAACATGGTTTAAAGGCTGTGTTTACCTTTGGGGCATCATCTGGTCTAGGTGCATACACTCCCTCGGCCAATTCTAACTGGTACTTGGCACTCGGCTGGAACCAGCCAAAATGGCTGAACGTTTCCCTGTGGTCACGAAGATCATGTCAAAGTCAGAAGTATTACTGAAACACATGCATCTCCATGTGTTTTTACTTTCCAATTGACCTTTTCTTAAAAGGATATTTTTTGATAACTTTTTCAAGAGTATCTGCCGATTTAATTCAGCCTCAGGGCTCCAAATGTAGCCCAAGTAAGCCACAATTTTAAATAATACTTAAACATTTGTTTAGTCTCACCTGCTGCAATGCCATTCACAGATCAAACCGCTAGTATCCATGGAAACCATGTTGCCATGGGAACTCGCGAAGCCCAGAAAGATGAGGGCAGACTTATGGCAGCGGCACAGCTCCACTGGGACGTTTTCACCAATGTAATTCGCCTGTGTATCTAGAGTCACCTGCAGTTTTGATTATTAAGTACGAAACCTATCGTTACCCCTTTCTACACTTCTTTTGATTGAGCCCGATTCCCAACCAGATCCATTTGAATCCAACATCTGGTTTTGTTGGGTTACAGTGGATTGGGAATGCAAAGACCAGGTGCATGACCAGATAGAGTTCAGCATTTCGGTGTTGTTAACATTGTTAAAATACAAAGTATACACCACATGACTACTGCACGACATTAGCTGACACAAATGTAGACAAAATCCTTAGGATGTGTCTAGCTATGAACACAGACTTATTGAGATAGCTGACAAAAGGCCAACATGGTGTAAAGATATTCAGGGCAGCAGCAAATCAAAAATTAAAAATTTTCTGGTCTGACGTGGCCTCTTTCAAAATAAACCAATATCTGAGTCTTGCAAATTCACTGCCTGATCGTCTTGGAATAGAGATTCTTTCCTGAAGTGACGTCATTCTACCTGCTCAAGTCTCAAGCCGAAAATGAGCAAAAATAGGGACCAAGAGCAGAACTGTGAGGGAATGGAGGATGCTTGGGACTTACCACAGAGTGGGAAGCTGTCGCCATCTGTTGCTGGACAGCGTCGGGAGAGGCGCTGACGTTGCATTTCAGGATGTCACCGTTCTCGAGACCAATGACAACAGTATTCTGTCGTCACAACAAAAAGAGGAATTTCAATAGCTCAGAAATGAAAAATCAACGCACTAAATCTAAAGCAGCACCTACAGTTCCGAGAAGCCCACCGTCGTTAAAAAAAACCACGGTAACTGTGACTTCAAGAAGACAAGGACTGTAATACCTGTGTGGCAAGCAAGGTGTGAGTTGGATGGAAGACGGCCATTTTGGGACTGACTGCAGACGTCTGGGCACCGGTCTCTTTCAGGGGCCCTGGAGAAATGAAATAAGTAACTGGGGTGATTCCCCATTTGATGCTAAATTTTCACGTCAGCAACTAATGTCTCATCACGGAGTTTTGAACCAAGTGAAGAGTTGTTCAGGTTGGAGAACAGCATAAATGAGCTCCATATTGGATGTGGGGAAAAAAGATCACAGCTACTGACAAAGTCTGGAGAGAGTGGAATGCACTCTAGTTGAAGGCTGAAAAGAGACAGTTTTTTCCAGATATAGTCGGTACACCAATTAAAGTAAGATTTCTTGAGAGTATGTGATAATTATAATAATAATAACAACAGGTTTTTTTATTTAATGCTTTTAACTTAGATCAAAGTGCTTTCCATTATTAAAACTACTTTCGAGATATAGGAGAGCATGCAGTCGCAGATGACGTCACTAGACCATGTACAAAATGCACTGCACGGCGCACAGCGTGAGCTCCTCGGCCAAAAGTAATAAACTGGCATTCCCCTAACGGCACAGGCCTCTACACAGCAACAGAAGCATACTGCGATCTGTACCTTCTTTGAAGTTGAAGTCCGACCGGTCGGCGTCCAGGGCCAAGAGTTGGGTCAGCTGCGAAGGTGCGGGCAGCCCCGTCTGGGTCTTCACCTCCAAGTCCCTGACGTCCTTCTGCGACACGCCACCGGAAGACATGGACCAGACTTGGAGGATGCCCTGCGGAGTCAAGGAGTGGGGAAAGATTTGTTGAGACGTGGCCCTGTGTACAGAGAGCAGCGATCTATCTAGTCCTGCACTTTGAAAGTACTTTACAAATATTTTTCTCTAGACAATAAAACAATAAAACTGGCAAAGGGTTTTCACACATAAACTTAATCAAGACCCTGGAGAATGAAAAATAGTAAAGTGGTGTTTCCTCATGGTTTGGTTTGTCAAACAACTTGAGTCGAGTTTGTGTGGTGGAGATCCGTGCATTCTTTAATGGATGCCTAGTCAGGCAAGATTTGGACACAATCCTAGCCCTTTGTGCCGATTTTGACGGCATCAGACTATGTCTTGCCAACATTAACTATTCGGTATGAGTACTGGATTGGGCCGCTTGGGGGAGAGCGGCTACGCACAAGAAGCAGTGGGCAGGTCATACCGTTTCATTGACGGTGATTAACCGGCTGCTGTCCAGACTCCACGCTATGTGTATGACGGCATCAGTTTGGGCACTCTCGTTCTGAATACAGCGGATGGGCAAAGGTTGGCCGGTGCTCACGTTGTAAACCAATACATCGCCTGCAGACGCGGTGATGACAAAAACCCAGTGTTGAAATCAACACAGCTCGCAGTACAGAAATGAAATTATTGGTGATCTAGATCGTTTGAAAAAAATGTCTACTTCCAGCTACAGGTATGGCTGCCATGTGAACTGTAACGGCAGAGGTAAATATCATGACTACTGTCGGCCCCCGCCAATGGCAGTAAGCACCATAAAGGGCTGGACTCGTCTATAACTTTCAGATCAACTGTCTAACACCTACAACCCAACCCTCTTTAAGAGCCCTGTGAAGGCAGGAAATCCAGCAACATAACGCCCTTAATTCAGCCCACACTGGTCACTGAAGCCACCGACGGCCATCTAACCGCGCCAAATACAAAGTTAAGACAAAGGCTCACTTAGCATCGATAACTCAATCATTCCTGGTAACAATGGCTACAATGGCATGTAAGCTAATGATCACCTTTGTATTTGGCACAGTAAAATGGCCATGGCTGGCTTCGGTCAACACAGGGGCATTGTGAACCCAGACTTTTCAATATGACAACCATGATTAAGTGGCCCTTAATTCCTTAAGACAGGTGACTTTGATACGTGAATACGTTAAAATGATATTGGCAATAACACTTTCCATACCATCTTCTCCCAGACTGGGGTAGGGGCACCCCATGCCGGCTTACCGCACACTAAAACGTCATCTTTAAGAATTCCCTTGGAAAATGAACAACAGATAGGATAATATCTTACCTCTGAGACATCCCAGTGCCAGATATCTCTGGTGTGGGGACATCACAGCAGTCACGACGCCTTGCACCTTCTTGGCTAGAGAGACAGACACTTGCTCTACGGCAAACAGCTGCACGGAAAAATAAAACCGTTCCAGTAAAGTTGCGTTTCCTATCAAAAAGCATGCCAGTCAAAAATGTTTTTTTCTTTGGCAGAAACCACAGAAGTCTTGGTGTTTTATCTTTTTTTTCTCCAAAGATGATCCCTTACCTTCCAGTAGGCACTCTCCTGATCTTTGAACTGCTTCATTTCAGGGCTCTGCGGGTCGGGTGGCCGGCCCACCCTGACAGGAAGATGCAGCAGGTTCAATCGGACTGCATCGTCGGGAGCCAGACTCTCTACACTGGATGCAACAGTGGAAACAAGTCACAATAGGAGTGTGGTACATGTGCACAGGACAGGTGGAAAAATGAGAGAGAAATATACAGAAATATGTGGAGTTTTGACACAATTGCTGATACGTTTCATCTTACCATAGTTTCATATTGCTGCTGATATGCCAATGGAAACAAAATTTCTGTATTTTTATGATGCGGACAATAAAAATGTAGACTCAAGCCAAATGGATCCGAATGGAATCCAATGCAATCTAATCCAATCCAACCCAATCCACCCTAAACAACCCGACCCAATCTAATCCAATCCAATCCAACTCAACCAACCCAAACCCAACCCAACCCAACGAACCCGGCCAACCGAACCCAAACTCAACCCAACCCATCCCAATCCAATCCAATCAAACCCAACCCTAACCCTATCNGTTGTCAATCGGGGACCCTCTGTCAATCAGAGACCTTATTGTCCTCTATTGTTCAGGGTCCCCAATTGCATGCAGAAACAAACTCATACCCAACCCATCCCAACCCAACCCAATCCAACCCACACAACCCAACTCATGTATCCCATCCCAACCAAACCCAAACCCAACCCATCCCAATCCAACCCAACCCAATCCAATCCAACCAAATCCAACCCAATCCAACCCAACCCAACCCACACAACCCAACCCTACCCTACCCTACCCAACCCAATCCAATTCAATTCAGTGACATGATTTTGCCAACAAAAACAAAGAAAGTGGGGAATGTCCGACAGCTCCCCATTCCCCGGAGACAAACGCTGAGACATATCACGGGCAAGAGCCCAGGGACTTACACCACGTCCTGCTCTGGGTTGGACACCGTCGGTTGGAGGTGAAGTCTCTGGCTGTGAGCCCAGATGTCCTTCCTGAAAAAAGGAGTAAGACATTTTTGAACATAGGAAACTAGACTTGAATCATTAATCAAACCACTGCATCTAACTAAGTGCACAGCTAGGGTGCTGTTTTTCCATTGCAAAATGGAACTGTTGTCCCACTGGTATTGAAGTTTGAATGGAAAAACATAGCGTACAGTGGTATTGTATTGCTGGAGTACTTTTGTCCCCAGTGGTAATCCGTTCATGTTGAATGCCACAAACAGTGGTATAATCTTTCAAAACAAAGACGGATTTCCTCCGCTTTTGACAATTGAAAATATGTTCCCAGCGCTCTGTCTTTTGTTCTGAGTGCAGAATACAGTCTTTTGTTATAAGGTCTAGCTCGTTTGTCTGGTTTAGGGTTTCCTGGCTTCGTGTACAAAGCCTATGTGCCCAAAACCGGATACCCCTGCACAAAGAAGTTAAGTACTATTATCAGAACTATTATATTCAGACCTATTATCTTAGGTTGGTGACAGCAGGGTAGGTGTGGGTGGGATCCCTACCTATTCATATTTCTGTCTTTAGTCATCTGTTCGTAGGTGGAGGTAACAAGGTCGTAGGCCGGGTCCTCTTCAGCTCTGCCTGATGGATTCCCTGTGGCTGCAGCCTGGGAAACACACACACTCAAGGAAATCGGTCTCAGTTTTTTTTCCTGCAATACGTCTGTTTTTTTATTAGGTTTTCAATTCTTCTTTTATAATTATTCTCCAGCTAAGTGAAAAGCACTATTATGATTTCTAATACAAAATTCAAACACGAGGCAAACGACATTTAGAAAAAACATTTCAATCAGCACTTCTCATTTTCAGTACATTAAAATCGCACGGCATTCTGGCTAACTTGGCACTGCACTCAATATGGGAGTGGCTTGGGGCAAGAAAAGTCGTAGAATGACAATTTGTGATACCTGCAGGATGGACTGCAATTTCAAAACAAGATATCACGCGGCATTAAAGAGAAAACAGTCAATCAAATGTCCCCCCTCGGGCCAACAAGTGATCAGAGATTTCCCTTCCCTTTTCTCTCCATCCCTTACATTGAAATATACAAGCAGGACCATGCGCAGCTCTGTGAACACATACATGTGAACTAGTGCCCCGAATACTGGTCAATATGTGTATATTACACGGAAGTCAATATCCATATCACACTGGGGTTGATACAACTGCCACTCACTAACCTCTGCTGACTGCATGACGAGTTGTCGTTTTAGGCTCAGTGCATAGTGCTCAGTACTTAGATACTCTTCGGCTGTTTGCCTTGAGACAGCATTGGTCGTCTAAACAAAAAAAGCCATCTAATTTTAATTACATGCGATGGACATGAAAAAAGTATTTTGTCAACGTAAGAAATGTACTGCAATTCAAACCAATTCCAGCAATTTCTAATCACCAGAACATTTTCTAACTTGGATTAGAAAGTCCGCAGTTAATTCTATGGTTCGCATGTTTTTTGACCTTGACGGAACTTTGGTCTGTGAAAGAAAAACGGGGAGTAAACAAAATATAAATACTTGCTTTTCCCCCAGAAAAAGATTATCATTTTTCTCTGTTCTTAGAAGCAAATTCAAGAGAGGGTTGGCAACAAAAAAATAAGACCAACAGAATTAAATATGGATGCCATTATGGCTGGACAAAGGCAAATTAAGGACTAGATTGAAGTTTCTGCCCCCCCCAAAAAAACAACTGACGGCGTGTATTGGACGTGCCTCTAAGACGAGCTCCTCAGCCAGCAACTGCAGCGCTCTTTCTTGACTCTGCTGTTGCCGAGCCGCCTCCACTTCCCGCTCAGTCGCCACGGCAACTTGCCTAGATGCAAAAAAATCTTGCTCAGGAAAACGAATGCAAAATTTCCCTCTCTTTCACAAAATACAACGCTGGTGTGGACGCAGAAAAAGGAAGGTCGACTTAGCTGAGAAGGCAAATGTTAGAACTCTTATTGATCGGTTTTCATTTCTGGCCATTGGTATCGATCCAATCTTTCATTAGCCCGAGATTTTTTGGAAAGGTCAGAAAGATGAAGCATTCCAGCCGGGGAAATGACAAATTGCAGAGTCACTGCGTTTAACCGTGACTGTATACTACATAGCTTCTGGGAATTGTCCCACACCTGAAATTCTTGAATAGATGCAAGTCAAATGCCAAGATCTCGTTTGGAAAACAACAGAGCATGGGGGAACCGAAGTTTTTTTAAGAATCGAAAGTGCCAAAACTTTAGAAAGCAGTACTACTCTTCGGGGGGGGGGATTCTTTTACGCATAAAAAAATGAGTGGGGATTCTTTTACGGGTAAGAAATCCCAATCATTTTCACACACAAAAATGGCCCATTCTCCCCCCCCAACTAAAAACCTGGATATGATACTGATCGCATGGTGTTTTATTACAAGGATCGAAACATGCAGAAGAAACAGAATTTCTCTAGTCAGAGGATACTGTTCAAGCTTTTCTTCCAACGGCTGGGGTTTGGGTTTGCTCTCGCTAATCTCCACAGCGTCATCCACGAGATCTAGCAGAAAATCCCTCACCTATTAGAAAAAAAAACACACACAGAAAGTTTGATAACAAAGAGATAGGTGAGACAAATCGGTATTATACATTTAGCCGTTGTCGCCAAAATGCCTCAAACGGAAAGTTTTCTTTTAACTTTATAGACGTCAATGCCACAGGAGATTTTATTAAAAACATGGTATGCCCCAACAGACATCAGTGCTTTGTACACATACCAAGTTTAAACCAAATTGGACAAAGCATTTTGTGATTAGGATTGTTACAATCACACTTCTGTCGGTGACAGGGCATGCTTTCTGTTAGAACAGCGAACCCACAGGTTTTTCCAGCAACTCGAGTCTGAAAAACGGTGAGTGCAAACGTAAGGAAACGGTGCTGAAAAGCAGTTGAGACAGCGCCCACAAAGGTTTAATGAAAAGGAGAGAAAAAAGAAAGCTTGGTTACAGGGCTTTTCTAGGGTTCAAGGTGACAAATCTCGCTCACCAGGTAATAATCGGCCATCTGCCACGGCTTGTAGGATTTCGGTGCAGCCAGCAGAAAGTCGCGGTTCACCACCTCCTTCTTTTCCCTCTCAAGCTCCTCCCTTCATGTGGACAAACCAAAAAAAGAGGGCACTGAAACTGCATTTCACAACTCTCTAATGTTATTTACCAACATACCCAGCATAAGGGCTCCTAACTGCAGAAGCACTGAGCCACGGTAACTGCCCTAGAAGATGGTGTACCTTAGACCGACATTCGGAATACTAATTTACAGAATCTCGTTTCTTGATGCAAAGGATATAAAGGCCTCCTGCTCACTTGAGCAGATATTTTATTGCCCTGGTAGTGAAAATGCCAAGATTTGCTGGCTGGTTTACAAATTTCCGCCCAACCTACAAGGCAAAGAACTGGTGTCGTGAGACTTTTCCTTAATCCAGCCAATGTTGATTTTTATTCTCTCTTTCTCTTCCTTACTTCATCTTCTGCAGGTTGGCTATCATCGCCGGTAGCTGGTCCTGGGTTTTCAGGACGAAATTGGCCAGGTCCTCCTTCCAATGCTCCTCGCTGCTGTGTGGACGAGTGCCGATAGGTTCTGAAATTTACCGGGGAAGGAGAGAGTGAAACGGACATTCAGCCGGAAATTAAATCTGGAAGACTCGGGGCCATGCAGCTACGCAGATTTTACTATTTAACAAAATTTTTGCGCTGAGAAAGAATCAGCTTAAGGCCAATCACAGGAAATGCGCACTGCCTGGCATTTGTAATTTGCTGGTAACCTGATGCTGTTAGGTATATATATATATCTTTGTTTTAGCTAACTTGTGCTTGGCAGACCTGTGAAATTAATTAGAGCTTTCCTCGGTGGTGTAACTGAAAAGAATGTCCACCTGGAGCAGAAAAACCCCTCATCGGTTCAAAAGAGCCATGTTGATTGGAGTGTTCATTTTGTTGTTAGCGATGCGACCGTAAGGCGTGCATTTCGTGGGCATTCGTGAACCAGAAAAGTGCAATTCTGACCAAAGTAGCCTCCGTTACTAAGAAAATTGTGCCCTCTCTCAGTCCAGCTCAAGGCTCACACCGGTAGGAGGGCACTCAACTTGAGACTCCCTGAGGAAGGAAGACGGAATCCTTGCCATTTTCCCCCTTGGTCATCCATTCATGAATCTTTGACCGCCCCTCAAAAAACAAAAGGGGACAAAAATTTCAGGAAGTGCTAGAGCTTTCCATTATTATTAAAAAAAAAGTCCATCGGGTTATCCATGTTTCCGTCTGTTGAATTCCTTACCCAGCTTGGTGTACGGGGAGGGCAGACTCCATCTCTTCTGGGCCTGCATCACTTGCTGGTGCTCCTCTTGCAGTTTCTGGTTCTCCTTGGCCAGCCGGTGTCTCTCCTGGGACCAAGTCGTTCCGGGGGGCGGCCCCCGGCTGGGGGGTGAAGGCCGTTTCATGGGAAAGTCATTGCGTGGGAGCGAGGCTGGACTTGCATAGTTCTGGGCCGTGAAAATCAGATTTCGAATGCATTAGCTCTGGTACTAGACACGTACATGAATGCCACATTACACACTGTGCATTCCGCTCCACCGTGACAAGATCTCAGACGGCCAAAGATTCCAAGTCTAGGGCAGTATTTTACCGTTATTTTGTTCAGTAGTCTCATCTCATGTAATGCTGCATGCACTGTCCTCGGCAGTGTGATGAAATACTTACATACATGTACATGTACTTTGAATGGCCTTGAGGCAAGTGGAAAAAAGGAGGGAAAATAAAGCAGGTAGTTTGGGAAAACTTGACACTAAATACTAACCCCCCCCACAGTTAAATCGGTCTGGTCCTCGCGCCTTTTCATAAACGCTATATGGCTGGATACCAGTTTAGCCTGTCACTTGGCCATTGCCAAAATATACCTAGCAAGAAATGAGACCGAGGGGTACCCCCCCAACATGTCACATTCCAGACTATTGTTACTT